GGGAGAGAAGTAGACCTTCGCCAGGAGATCGGAGATCTTCAGTATTTCTCTTTTGTGAAGCCTCATATTTGACTTGATGTCAACTTTGACTGCTCTTCTTCAACCGGGTCTTTCAGTATCTAGGAGGATCTTCTAGGTCGATGGATGTATGTCCCTTCCGTTTCAATATCCATTTATTCAGAATAATTTCTGACCGAAGGACTTGGGTGTTGCCTGGTGTCAGAGGTATTTTCATGGTGATTCTGTAGCGCCCTTTTCATGCACCAACTTAGCGCTTCCCAGGGGTCAGCTCAGAACAGAATACTACCTTTGGGGATTCTAAATTCAGCCATTCTTACGACATGGCGAGCTCAGCGAAGTTGAGTCCTTTAGAGCTTTAAAAAATAGAAGCTTGCATTTAGCCTTTTTGAGAACTTCAGTGTCTGGTAGTTTTGTTCGGCCATTTGATGCCAAGTACAACAGAGGAGAGGGCAGCAACATTGAACTTTTAAAACCATTTAACCCTATCTGTACGCCCTGGGGTCATTTTGTAACCCCCCCCCCCCACAATCCCATGGGCTTGTATTCTTCACATTTTACAATACTTCTAGTACGAAGATCTCCTTGAAACTTTCAGTATTCCTCAAAATATCTTTGCAAAGCGTTCGGATCGGACTAACGAGTAATCCCCTCTTTGGAAAGTGGTGGCATAGAGTTCCCCACGTCGCATGGATACGATAATAAAACACGACTTACGGATAGGGTTAATTTTGTCTCAGTGCAAATGCCACAGCAGTTCCAAAAACTTTTTCTGGGTTTTCTGAAAGAAAACATGAAGTAGCTATATTCATAAGTAAATCTATTTCTGCATCGATGCCGGCGTGTCAAGATAATGTACTGCCAAGTCAAGATATTTGAAGCTATCAACATTGTTCAGTGTTGTGTTTAGTAGTTTGATTTCCGGGGGAACAGAGCAGATCTTTACTATATTAGGTCCGTACATTTTTTTTATACATGCATATTTATTAGTTTGATAAGCCTAAAACATCCATAAACTGTAGTTATAACTGCCAAAAAGATTATAATCTTTGCCCTGAATCAGTGGTCCATTGTTTGATAGTGTTGGCTATCACTGCCATCTAAATTAGCGTCGTCGGTCGTGACAGAACGAGGACGGGTCGAAAGGATAAAAAACAACAACTGCTTGACACTTTCCCTCGCCCCCATCTCAAGCTGTCGAAACGGGTCGCAACGAATTTAGTTGTTCCCCCGATTAAAACTCCATGGCCGTCACTAATTGAGGTGAACCCCCGATTCATCGCCACCGATCTGTCACTCGCGGTGTCCCCAAGCTAACAGAACCAAAATCGACCAATCAGCGCTGAGAACGGTTCGCTTGCACGCGGTGTCACATCCCACTAACCAATCAGGAGCGCTGTCGAGTGTCGGCTGCGAAAAATGGAGGAGACAGTAAAAGCCAGCGGGCGACACGTTCGGAGAATCAGACGACAGAAGTTGTTCCTCGCGGCGGAGTTAAGAGAGAGAGAGAGAGACAGAGAGAGAGAGAGAGAGAGAGAGAGACACCGAGAGAGGGGGCTTTGCTTGGCAGCGACACCGTTGTTGTTGGACTTGTTTTCAATCCCCGCTCCGCTCAGCTGGTAGGCCGATACTAGGGCCGATAAGGGATTTATTCGTTCGGGCTAAAAACGACGGACATCTGAAACTTCAACCGCAGATCGCGGCGCGGTCCTACCATAAAACCGCTGAGATTCAACACCAACGTACTTGTGCTGTTGTTAAGTTTCCGCGTATAGTAGGATTTCACCAGAAGCTACGTCGTTGTTTTTGTTTACGAGGCTTGCAATAACAGCTGTGAGAACGACGTCTGTGTTTTCTTTCTCCCCCCCCCCCCTTCCTCCTAACAAAAACCGTCTCCTGGGATTTTATTGACTCTTTTCAAGGTGTTCCTATGGCGACGTAATTCGTTGTAGCGGCACCCACCTGAGAGCACGCACTGCGAGCGTCAAACAACTTACCGGTCACAGCTGACGAGACTGCAAGATTCTCCTGAGTCCTGAGGTGTGCAACAGAGCGATTTCAGTTCTCCAAATAAACAAACAAGGTAAGTAATCGAAGTGGGAGATAGAGTAATTAGGAGAAAGGAGAGAGAGAGAGAGAGAGAGAGAGAGAGAGAGAGAGAGAGAGAGAGAGAG